ATAGGATCTATGGTTTCTCCAGGCGGTATGTTCTGGTCCTTCAACCATGATGTTAGGCATTGCTTGTGCTGTTTCATGACCCAATCATCTGAATGACCATTTCTCTCCGCCGTAATGATAGCCATGTGTTCTTCAATGTATGGTTGCATCAGTGTTGTGCTCTGCAAGACACTGTAATGCGCCCGACTCACTTCTTTGTAATCATGGTCGATGAACATTTTTCTACCACTTGTGCCCTTCCCAACCAGCCTACCCTTGTGACGAGAATCAGGATTACCAATCCCTCCCTATACTTTTAGGTACTCTTGACAACACTCGACGACTTCTTTAGTACTGTAACCCTCTATCGTGGAGCCCTCTGGGTATGCTCGATTATGCATGTATCGGCTTAGAACCGACATGAAACGCTCATAGGACCACATTTCATGCAAGTAGCAAGGGTCCAGCGCCTGTATTTGATGAACCATGTGAATCATGAGATGTACCATTATATCAAAAAAAGCGAGAGGTAAACGCATCTCTAATTGGTTCTGGGTCTCCACCACGAAATCACGTAGGTCACTCATCTCTTCCCTACGAATCGTCTTCTGTAAGATCTTCGAAAAGAAGTAGCACATGTGGGTGATGGCCATCTTCAAGAACTCTGGCTTTATAGCCCTGATTGCAATTGGTAGGAACACTGTCAGCATCACATGACAATTGTGAGCCTTGCAGTGTGTAAATGACAGGTCCTTCATCGACACTAGCTTCTTTAGGTTCGCCGAAAACCTAGTCGGTACTTTGACCCCCCTCAAGAAAGTGCATATAGCTCTCCTCTCTTCTAGGGTTAGGTTGAAGCTAGCCACGGGCAAAGTGTATTTTCCATTATCCTAAAGTACCGGGTGAAGCTCTGGCACCACTTTTAGCTGCACCATGTCTTTCTGTGATTTCAGACCATCCTTTGACTTGCCTATGTCCATCAAGGTAGCCATGAGACTCAAAGACATTCTTCTGCACGTGCATCGCATCAATGGCATGGGGGACCTCCAAGTCTAGCCAATAAGGCAGATACTGAAAGAAGATAGATTGTTTCTTAAAAGGTATGCCTTCGATAGGAGGTGTGCTTCTATCTCTGTTCGTTCCATCCGGATTCTTCTTTCCATAGATGACACGTATGTTTTTCATCATTTTGTACACATGTTCTCCATTACGACATCTCTCCGGAGGGGGTTCATTCTCCGGGGTGTTGCCATAGTATCTTAAGTACAATCTGCTACAGTACTTGTGACCTATCTTTAAGAAGCGCCGATTCCTTAGGTAAACTACCTTCTTAGATCCATCTAAGAACACCCATTTAGTACCATCCAAACAGACTAAGCATCACGTCTTGCCTTTGATCTGTCCAGACAAGGCAAACAGCGCGGAGTAATCATTGGTAGTAACAAATATTATTGCTCTACATATGAAGTCCTCCTGTCAGAACGCATCGTACATCGGCTCCCCATACCTCCATAGCCTCTCCATTTCTTGCATTAGAGGCTCCAGAAACACGTCTATATCAATGCCTAGTTATTTGGGGCCAGAAATAAGAATAGTGAGGAGAAGATACTTTCTCTTCTGAGACAAATACGTTGAGATGCTGTACATGGTCAAGATCATAGGCCATGTGCTATGGTCGCTCATCCTCTCATTGAAGGGATTCAATCCATCGATGCTCAAGCCAAACCGTACATTCCTTGGGTCCTCACTGAAATCTTTGTGCTTCTCATCGAACGCTTGCCACTGACTACAATCGGCCGGGTGTGCAATCTTATCATCATCCACCTTGCGCTCATCATCCCACCATGCCATGAGTGCGGCTTCCTACTTTGCAAAGCCTCAAGCGGTCAGTCACTGGCATGTACCACATTACCAATGCAGGAATTCTTCTCTACTTTGCATCGTTGCCTAATGGAGTGTCCTCTGGGGGCTAAGATTCTTGCACCGGCTTTTTCATACCCTTCTTATTCCTCTTGTTCCCCGTGGATGTTTCGTCCCCACTGTAAAGGTTATTATTTTTGTACCGGCTGGACCCACACCAGGGGCATTTATCCAGACTCTTGAACGTTTCTCCATGAAAAAGGATACAATAGTTGGGGCATGCATGGATTTTTTCAACACCCATTGTCAATAGACTTATAACCATCTTCGCTTGGTATGTGTTGGCGAGAACTGAGTTTGGCTGTGGGAGCAACCATAACAGGAGACGCAACAGATCATTGAAACCGCAGTCCGACCAGCCGTACTTAGCCTTCAGGATGAGTAGCTCAAGCATAAAATATAGCAGTGTCCAGTGTGTTGGACAACCCTTTTCAACACCATACACAGTCTCCTTCGATGCTTTTTTCACCCTGTCTAGATTTTCTAGACCTTTCTTGCTATTTAGTAATATTTATGGTCCAAAGGCCCGAAGCATTTCCTCCAAATTGTCACCGTCATCTTCATCCCGCTCACGTGTTTCGCCATCATTGTCGGCACCACCAGCATCATCACCACCTTGTTCATTGCCAAAGTCACCACCTTGTTCATTGCCAAAGTCACGATCCATTTGTGCAGCAAGCTCGTTTGAGAATTGGGATAGGTATTCTAGGGTTTCAGCTTCGTCTTCTTGATCATCGTCGTTGTCATCAACAACCATGGTTTCACCATGATGAATCCACACTGTGTAGTCTGGAACAAATCCTCGTATAATCAGATGTTCTCTAATGGTTGTCACTTCTGAAATGCCATAAGGTTATTGCAATCTTTGCAGGAACAAATAATTGTATCCTTATTCTCTGTCAACGTCGCTGCATGCTTCGTTGCGGCTTCAATAAATTCATCCACCTCTTTACGGAAACCTGCCTTAAACCTTAACGAACCATACATCCGAGAGTTCCTGTACTCCATCTTATCAAAACAAAACAACCAAAGAAAATAAATTAAAGGAATCAAATTAATAATTAATTACTCGAGAATAATTGTATATACTTCAGACACACACCATGGTAAAGGATAATTAATTAATTGCCTATTAATGCATAAATATTTTAAAATATATTAATTGGTTAAAATAAACAATTTCAAAGACAACAATTAATATTTTATCCACTACCTTTCATGCCAACTCCATTCCAATTTCATGAAACATAAATTACAAAATCAAAAATAAAAAAAAAACCCTAGATCTAGAACTAGATCTACATGAAACATACATAAAACTAAGGTGTAATCTCCACTAAAATCAAGCAAGATCAACTAATAAAGGGTGTAACCCCATTTCTCTAACTAATTTACACTAATAGCTTGAAAACTAGGGTCTAATTTGCTTCGTACAAAGCTCAAGCACCATGGAAGAGAGAGAAAAGCAAAACTCTAATTACTCACTAACTAACTGTTAAAACTTCAAATAAAGGCTTGGAATAGCATTTTCTTACCTTCTACGACCTCTCCACCAAAGTATTTGAAATCAAAACCTCCCTCCTTAGTAGAGAATTTTTAGGAGAAGTCCAAGGCCAGCTCCCAACCTTTTTTCCGGGTAGAAGAGTGTGTCCCGAAGTGGAAGAATGTGGTTGTTGTGCTGTATACGTCGGGCATTTGTAGGGGCGGCTGGTGATTCAGCCGCCCCTACAAATGGGAATAGCAGGGCGGGTGGTAATAGCCGCCCCTATAAATCGGACAGTAGGGGCGGTTGGTGAGTGAGCCGCCCCTATAAATCAGCCCATTTGTAGGGGCGGCTCGTGTTACCAGCCGTCCCTACTGTGCGATTTGTAGGGCCCGAGGACGTCCACTGTAGGGGCGCCGTCAACCCCAGCCGCCCCTAAAAAACAGCTCGTTCCTACAAACCGTTTTTCACGTAGTGAGTGTTGTAGTGTACATACCCATCATAAAATAATATATTCTCGTTTCAGACTATATATCCCTCATCTTTTACGTATGTATCAGGATATCATGAGATTGTAAATGTTGTTTTGCATGTGTTCTTTTCTTTATAACAAATTATGCACTCTTTGTGGACTTTGAGGACATACCACAGAGGTACACCATCACAAGTTTGTCGTATCTCCAGGCAACATATGAAGAGTAGTAAGGCCTTGTTTGTCCGGCTCTTTCTGGCTTCGTCTCCTTGCTACAGTACCAAAGGAGATGGAGATGGAGGAACCACAAAACGTGGCTTCTTGGGGCTCATAATTTATTTTGTCAGGATAGAGAAAAAAACAGCTACAGTGCTAGTGCAGAGGAGCCACAAGAAGCTATGCCAAACAAGCATAAAGTACCTTGTGTCATGACTCATAACACAAAAAAAACTTCATAAACCATATGTTGTTTTTTAAAGATCTGGGAATACTTGATGATTATGGATTCTTCCTATGTGGAACATTATGCTTAATGTATTACTTACCATTAGTATATATTAAACATTGACGTGATAAATATCAACTTAATCGAATTGCACAAGCTGAAAATGTGCTCACGGGTCATCAGAAAAAGATAACTGACTAGCATTTTCAAAATCAAGGAAGGTGCTTGTATCTTCATGTGCTGATGCTCAGGTGTGAATTCCAATATATATCAAAAAAATTGGACAGGCAATTTTTTTGTTTTTTATTAAAGGCATCCTAAGTTAAATGTAAGCTCTGTGCATGTGAGCATGGCTTCAACCCCCAACCCCAATGTTATATTTGTGGCATTTCATATTTTCCTTTACTCCATTTTCTAAAAGATATAAAGATCTATAAATGCAATCTTGATGGCATGAAAAATTATTCATATTATATTTGTTTGTTTCTGAATCATTTTTGCAATGAAATAAAATTAATTTTCAGCTATGCGTTTGGAGCATTGATGGTTGGGAGAAGAAGAAATCGAGATACATCCAACCTCCATCTAATGTTTCCAGTACTTTAGCTGGTGATACAATGGTATAGTTTCACTATGATGAAACACATCTTTTAGTAGTTCATGAGAGCCAGTTGGTGATCTATGATTGGCAACTAGAATGCATGTGCTCGGTAAGTCATTTACAACATTTTCATAAAAATATGTTTTCTCTTACTTGCCATATGCAGTCTTGACTAACATATTACATGTTTTACATCATGCCTGTAGAATGCCTCTAATCTTAGCGATGCATTGCAATAAACATGTTACACACTGATATTTGACCTTCCATAACTTGATAATGCAGTGGTTCCCAGGAGATGCACTCCTTGCTCCAATTTCGAGTGCAGTATACTCACTTGGTTGTTTGTTGGTCTATGCTGGATTTCGTGATGGTGCAATTGGAATATTCGAGGCAGAATCTCTTAAGTTGCAGTGCAGGATAGCACCCTCTGCCTACATACCATCTTCAATATCCAGGTATGTGGAGTTTCAAGCGGTTCCTATTTTTTGTTTGTGAGTGGTAGTTCACACCCTACCCAGCTCGCTCAAGTAGCTGTGGTTTGTGTGCGGCTCTGCAAAAAAATTCTGCTAACCAACATCTTGTTTCTGTTACCTCTCTTGTTTCCAGCAGTGGTGAAACTGTCTATCCCACAGTTGTCGCTACGCATCCGTGGAAGCCAAACCAGGTTGCAGTGGGCACGAGCGATGGTGCAGTTCTTGTGCTGGAGCCGTTGGATACAGAAGACGTACAGGGGGGAGCAACGCCTCCTCAGAACAGTGTCCACCTAGTGATGTCAGCAACAGCGGTGGTCACAACCAAGTACTTGACGTGTGATCGGGCGACGAGGTGACATGGCAATGCTTGCTTGGCATACAATGACAGATTCAATTAAATATTCGGCTTTGGCTGCTAGATATATATTTGGTCAAATGGGACTGGTGGTTTATGCACCAATCCAGTTGCATGTATACCATCTATCGCTAGATGTCATCGAGATCTATATACTTGATACTAGTGTTTTCAAGTCGTCGAGGACTTACTTATTTGTAATAAATAAATATGCATGTTGCTAGTGGTTGAGACATTTCCCTCCCCCATCTCTCTTCTTCTTTATTCATAAAAAAACCATAATTGTATGGTGGATAATGTATTCTCTTATTTGTAAGTCAATCTGGCTTAGGTTGAATTGCAATACTCTTGCTTGGTGAATGATGTGAGATTTTGACATGCTTGTTAAAAATTCGTTCCAAGTGGGGGAAATTGTCCTTGGATAAAATAGTATAGAGCATATATATGCTGTTTTGTTAAAAAAATTATGAGAAAAGCATTCAAGTAAAAAGTCACAAAGGAAATGCACAATAATGTCAAAATCCTTTTTTTTATCCAGTCCTCTACTATCGTCCTTCATGAGTAGTCATCAATCTTCATAGTTTGAAGTTGATTCATACCTAAAGTTGGAGAGACATGAGAGACCTTCTAAACATTTGGAGCCTGTCAAGAAAAAAAAGAATACTAGCAGGGTCACAGAGAACGTTCAGTGTTACGTGTTTTTGAACAGGAAGAAATTCCATAAATACGACAGGTGTTCCCTGTTTTCGCTCAAAACAAATGGGAATAACGCAATTTCAAACACTTCACCATTCACACATCCTTTCCTTCCTCAATGCAAATAATATATCAGTAATGAATATACAACAACAATGTATTAGTTTCCACAAAGACCCCACAGCGAAAATCAACCCACTGATATCTGCAAACAGTTCCAGTTTCTCCTCATACAAAATGGGGAAAAGAAGCCATACATCCACCAAAAAAACACACCCAAGCAGCCCCACTGTAAAAAAGACTATTACCAAACTGGTTATCAACCCCTGACAAATCCAAAGTGTCGGGATGATATCAACCAGGACCACGATCGACATCAGCCCAGCCCTAAGCCACTCCCACGTGTCTTCTTTCACCGCCTTTGCGATGATCTAGCATTTCTGGGAGCGACGGAGAAAAAAAACACTAATAGACCACAGTTGAGCTCCAAGCGATCAGATTTCCAAGCAAAAGGCCAGAGCCATTGCTGGTCATACTATCTAGAGGGTTTCTTGCGGCTAAGAATCTCTTGCTCTTTGAGGCGGTGCTGGAACCGTGCCAAGCGTGCTTGGAGGCTGACCAAGCCCGCAGCCTTGCGTGACAGCAGAAAGCTCAGTTGGGTCACATAGTTGTCAATCAGGCTACCTGGTTGATCAACCTCTGCCAAAAGGTTCATCTCCTGAGACAAATAAAACATATGTTTAACAGTACTATTAACCAGTGACCTTACAGAACAAACAAGGAAGTTAAAGCAAATAGACAGCTTAACATTAATTCACAAAATATATGGTCCTCATGATAACTCGACATATATCTGCATATATGTGTACTAGCTAATCACATTTCTTCCTAGGAACACACTAATATCATTATAACAAGGCATAATATGATTAGAAGAATCTACAAGGTGTGGTTTGACCATTGATTCTCTTACAACATAATATCAATTACTACAAAACTATGTTACTAAAAGATGTGTGAACTACACCTCCATCCCAAAAAGGATGCAATTCTAGGTCTGGTCAAAGTAAAACTATCTTAAGTTTGACAGAGTTTATAGAAAATATTACCAATATGTATGACTCCAAATAGATATACCATAAAAATATATTTTATGATGGTTCTAATGATACTTATTTATATGATAACATTAGCATCTCTTTATATAAATTTGGTCAAACTTCAAATCGTTTGACTTTGCACTATTCGCATCCTTTTTGGGATGGAGTACAAATCTATTGGTTTATCATTTTGTCCACTAAAAAAGTAAACGTAGATAGATTTTAACTAATTGATGGTCAAAGCTTACAGTGACTGGCTTTTTCGAATTCTAATTCAGCCTACAGTCTGAAATGGGGGTAGTAGCATACAGTGAGATGACTTATAGTTATTGTATACAGCTGTCAATCTAAGAACATGATCATGGACATTATTAAGTATATTAAGACTTACTTCCCGCACGATCTCCATAGTATTCTCGATTTCCTTCCTGTGAGCTGCTATGAGGGCCTCCTCTTCCTAACATACAAAAGAAAGCTTAGCACCACAGCTCGATGCAGGATAAATAACACAGCAGTTTCATGAATTGGTATTCATGAATTGTTCTTTACCTCAAGAATTGCATCAATTTCTACATCATCACAAGAACTTTCTTTTTCAGATTGCCTTGATGAAGCTGAAGCAGATGCTGGCCTTTGCTGCTGTTGCTGCTGCTTTGCCTGCTGCATCTTATACCCAACCCGACCTGTGTCAGGAACATTATCCTTTTTCGTGTAGTTGCTCTGCCTATCAGATTTGTCTTCTCTAGAAGCCTTTCTCCGAGGAGGTGAGACTTTTGTGACTTTCTCCTCCTCCTGTGTATTTGCTGAATTCTGAACCAACTGTGCCTTACTAGTATAAGCCGTTTGGCTGGATTTCAAATCATACCTCTCCCTGTCATTACCAGATGCTGCACCGTTCTCTTCTCTCCCTCTATTAGAATAACTTGGAATCATACTAAAGGAATTTCTGTCAGGCTCTGCAGAAGCGTTGGAGACAAAATTTTCAATGCCCTTCCGGTAGGTATCAACTGGTCTCTTATCTTGAATCTGACTAGGAACTTCTTCAGCTTCAGCAGGCAATGGATATGATGGAGCTGACGAAGACTCCCGGCTAGAAGTGGTAGTTGGTCCTGTGGACTGCTCTTTTCTTGTGTTTCCACCCTTGGAAAGACTTTTAACCCTGTTATTATTATTTAATTCAATTTAATGACAGGAAGCATTTTTGAAACAAACAAATCACGTATATCACTTGAATATATAGCATTGTTACCTATCTGCGTATCTCAAGGTATTTAGTGTGTGTTCACATGAACCTGCGTTTGGAGAAATGCAAGAAATCATCACTGTCCTAGAGTTACCAACAAATGAGTCACGAAGAACCTCTGTAAGCTTGCTTCCTCTGAAAGGAATGTGTATCTGATCATTATCAAGAGCTCGAATGCATTCCTTAAGAGCTAACAGACTTTTATTTATCTCTGCTCCCTCAATCCTGATATATGATAACAAGTTGATGGTAAAAATAAGTGAGATGGTAAAGGAGCTTGAGAAGTCAACAAAGGGGTGCAAATATATAGAGACATTAGCAACACACCTTGTCTGTCTATCATTGTCAGTAGTATCAGCACCACGCTCACTTCCAGCAAGATCAATAAATGATATTTTCCCCACAGCCTTTGTATTTTTAGCTTCATTAGCATCACGATCTCTCTGTCTCCTGGTATCTTTTACAATGATATGCTTCTTGACAGCCAGTTGCAGAATAGCATGTGACCTTGATGATTCCTCATTGGCCCCTGTTGAACCTGTGCTCCTGGCTGCATTTCCTCTTTCAATATATTCCTTGACGATCTGGACGTCAGAAACCTCAAATTCCTGTAGACCAACAATGCAAACTTGTTTCTTGCCATCTTCCCTCATTAGTAGTTGCCTATAAAACAAAGGATAGAAAAATTTCAGTTCAGGTAGTATACTTTGGACATAACAACCCAAGAACAATTTTTAGGCCCATATTTCAAACAATAAGTTGAATCTTCAAAACCCAAAAGGAAGTATCATTGTTTCAGACATAAATATTTCTTTTCGGTAATTGATGAAAATGTAAGTTATATCAACGAGAACTTTAACAGTGTTTCATAAATCTACAATACTGCTGTTTTTTTAAAAAAAAACATCAAGTGGCATTTCAGCCTAACATCTGAAAACATGGATTTCTAATCCAAACAAATAATGGCTCAAGGCTAACAATAGACTATGTATAGATGAAGAATAGATACTTTGAAGTAGAGAACATGCTTCAACACTCGCACCAGTGATCATGAATAAGAGCGACAATCACACATGCACAAGCTCACCCACACACAACCAGGAAGAGGGAAAAAGACAATGTGACTTCGTATTCAATACATCAAAATCAACGAAGGTAGAAAGGTATGCCATTTTTAAATATTTACGTAGGTCATGTAACCTGAAAAATACAAGAAAATCCAAAAACTAACCTTCTGTCAGATAGAAGATCGAAGAGTTTCCCACCATATATTTCGAAATAACTAAGCCACAACTTAAAATTCTGATTCCGATAGACAGGTTGGTGCAGTAGACGAACCATGTCTTGTGCAGCTCTCAGAGGCAGAGGCTGCATTGTGTATGTCTTGCCACTGCCTGTTCATTTAATTAGATAGATGGTAGGTCAACAGAAACTATTAGAAACCACAACGCAATTATGCACAAAAGATATATACTGATAACCCTGTAATAACAGAATGTACTATCTAACCTGTTTGTCCATAAGCAAAACATGTTGCTTTTGTTCTCTGAAATATAATTGGGATTATGGGCTCAACTGTTTCACGGTAAACCTGCCCAGAAAATTCCATAAGGTTAACTGTAAGTTCGTTTTGAGCGTACACCCTCCTGCTTGTTCAAGAAAAAAAAACAGATAAAAAAGAGCAGCACCTCATCATTGGAAACATGTTCATCGAGGACAGCATCGAAACAAAATTCATGCTTCTCCACATAGGCTGTCAGATCCACCTTCCAGTGGAAAGAATATGTTAGCAGACAGCATAAAAGTAGGAAAGAAGGGTCCAAAGAAGTACCTATGAAATCTTAAGTTATGAATTCACGTTTATCCTACAGCATTTCTGAATTATTTTAGAATTGTTTTGGAAAATGTATATATAGCTGATAAGTAAAGGAAAACGAGCAGCATTTCAGTTAGTTTCGATGC